CCCGGCCCCTCCAGTCTCCTCGCCGTCGCCCCGGCCCCTCCAGTCTCTTCTCTCTCAGCTCAGCCCCTCATCTCATGGTAGATCACTGAAGAGGTGTGACAATTTTCAAATGTTAATATGTAGTCACAGTAGGAATGTTTAGGAAGCACTGCCCTTCTCAATCCAATGCTGCTTTGATATTATCAGAACATATGATCTCGGTTAGGCCCTTGAGCCTGCTTTGCCATTCTAGGTTTAACTGCATTTTCCCACACTATCACTACTTTCGTCGGCGTCATTAATATTGAGAAATCTATCATGACTGAGCCTCCACACTGCTTTGGGATAAAGACTTCAAAGATTCACCACCACCTTTGTTTATCTTCTTCCTCCTCAGCACTGAATGGCAGGGGCAGTTACAAAACCCAGCCAGTTATTAAGGTACGCATCCACCATGATCTGTTTGAGGGACTAATTGGCCTCTGCCTGTCCCGATGGCCCTAACTTAACAAGTGCTGGGCTTTAACCATTCATGTGCACCCATTCTTGTACATCCTGACATACTCAGAGAAATCCTTGGCTGAAAGTCGCACAATGGTGTGACCAATAGTCAGAAAGCCTGGTCATCGTGTGAGCTTTACTGGAGCTTTCTCTTATAACAAACAAATTGTCATTCACATCCAGTATTATCCCTTGATGAGTAAAGTGGGAAGTGTAAACCTAATAGACTGTTGATTGATGCATACGGTGAGGTCAAAATGGATTTGACATCCTCAGTTGTTTAGTTTTAGTTCATTATCTGGTTAAAAGCATTGAATTTTATAGTTCACTATGACCAATACAAGATTTATATATACTATAGTAATTGAACAGCACTTAAGCTTCTTTTGTTGGAGGTTATTATTGGGTGAGTAGTGTCTTTAGAGGCACGGTTCCCATTCAGACCTCTGTGTGCTTCCTCTCACTGCTGTGTATCATTGTCAGAATAACATGGTAAAGAATAACCTGCATTGTTAAATTATACATCCTTTTTCCTAAAAAAAACTTTCCAAGCTATTTCACTTTTCTGCAGGCTGTGTAATTTGCAATGTTAATTTGTTCTGAAACTAGGCTGCAACAGACTCTGCCAGCAGGGAGGTCCTTCGTTGCCATGGACACAAAACAAATCCCACAGATTCTACAGCAGATCTTCACATCCACTATGTTGTCAACGGCCTAAGGACTATCCCGTTTGGTTTGATGTGCATGCAGGAGATGGTGGGAAAAGCTACATGCAACGTTGACCTGTCGCTGGTTGCAGGCAGCTGCTGGATGTCTACTCAGTGACCGCCTTGACCCTACAGTCAGGTTTAGTTGGTGGCAATCGCTGGGGTGCATTGGAATAGTGACAGGAAGATTCTCAGCTTTACATGTGAGTGAGCATTAGAGGGCTGTTAGTAAAATGTGGGATAGTGCCATTTCCTGAGTCTCTTTATGACTTAATAAATAGATGGTTAAATTAAAGAATATCTGTATGATAAATAGATTCATATAGACGTTACTCCTAACCTGCCATGACAGTATAATCTTACTTTTAAACTCTTGTTAGTCAATTCTCCAATCTCCAGGAGGAACAATCCTTCTTTTGAATGTGATGAATTGAAAAGCAATTTGAAATACTTTGATTTCAGGAGATGCACCCTTTGGCCAGATAGTGGATAGTTCAAGGCACATGGTGCAATTATGTCCCATTTCCTTCAGTGACTGCTCAGCGTAAGCAAGAGCAGGGAGGGAATTCCTCTGGTCAAAATAAAAACAGGTGCAGGTACATGAAGGTAAGAGGGGAGCAGAGCTAGAGTCACTGAAAAGGGCACTGTTTCTTGACCCAAACTGAATGATGATGAAACAAAAAGGATATTTAAGACACTGACTGTGTGTAGGTTTCACATTCTTCCTCTGCTTCTACTGTGATGTGTGACCAACTACTACTAGGCTGGCTACCTACTGATCAACCATCCCACCATCATTTCTTTCTGCCTCTGTCCTTTCAAATCTTTTAGACAATGAAGAGTTCTGAGGAGCTCTGGCTCAGTCTTCGAGAGAGTTGATAAATAGGCTGTTCCCTGCAGCATATCTACTGAGTTAAATTTCAAATCCAACACTTCAAAAGGGACTGAAAGGCCCATCTCTTGAATTAATCTGTAAAGGTATTAGAATATAATTTACACACAAGATTGCTTGGAATATCAGGGAAGTAAATGTAAATGATGCAAAATTTAAAAAGTGATTTATTTTGTAACATTATATATGCACAGAATAAAGTTTAATATATTTTATCATCTCAGATACATTCTTGCAATCAGTTATTACTCACTGTGGTTTAATATCATCTCCTGTTCAGTGTAAACATCAATGCGCACAGTCACATTTCCTTTATTACTGTAACGGATCTGGGCATCACTAGCCAGGACATTTGTTACCCATCCCTAATTGCCCTTGAACTGAGTGGGTTGCTGGGCAACTTCTTGGGCAATACAAGTCAACTGCATTGTTGTGGGTCTGGAGTCACACGTGGGCCAGACCAGATAAGGACAGATAGATTTCATTCCCAAAAGAACATTAGCGAGTTGGACAGGCTTTTACAACAACTATGATCACATCACTCAAACCTGCTTTTAATTCTAAATATATTAATTGAATTCAAATTCTATCAGTTGCAATGATGAGATTTGAACCCCCAGGCACCCAGAGCACTAGCCTGCGGCTCTGAATTACTAGCCCAGTCCAATCTACCATTATCTCTTTCATTGCTGTTCACAACCTTGCAATGTGGACACTGATGTGTTTCATGCATGACAACATTTAAAAAAGCATTGGAGAGCTTTGGGACATCAAAAGATCAGGAAAGGTTCTACAGAAATGCATCTTTCTGTTTCGGGCAGTGGTCCCTTATTACTAATCAACCAATAAATCAGTGTCTATCTTATGGAAGCTGCAACAACAATACTTGAATTCAGATAACTTATGGTCCCAGTGTGCACTTCATTATCAGACAACATTTAACACCAAGCTTTGCCAGAGAGGTAGGTTTTAAGGAGCATGTTAAAGGATGTGAAGGGGATGAAGTTTACTAAAGGAATTCCAGAGCTTGAGGTCTAGAGAGCTGGATTCCTCCACCATGGTGGGTGATTAAAATTGGTGATGCTCAAGGGGCTGGAATTTACGGGTCCAGCCATTCAGCCCATTGAGCCTGCCCCGCCATTTAATATGATCATAGGTGACTGAACACTTCAGTGCCTTTTATCCATCCCATTGCCATAACCCTGTACACTACTGGTAATCAGAAATCTATCAAACTCTACGTTAAACATACTCAAAGACTGAGCTGCCTAAGCGATCTTTGGTAGCGAATTCCAAAGGTTTATGACCCTCCTCATCTTGGACCTAACTTACTTGTCAACGTTAAGATGGAGATGATGTTGGATGTCTTGAAAAACAGTAAGGTAGATAAGTCCCCAGAGCCTGATGGGATCTACCCTAAGGGAGACAAGGGAGGAGGTTGCTGGGGCCTTGATAAAGATCTTTTATCCTCTTTAGCTACAGGTGAGGTCCCAGAAGATTGGAGAGTAGCCAATGTTGTGCCTTTATTTAAGAAGGGCAACAAAGTTAGTCCAGAAAATTATAGGCCAGTGAGCCTATAATTATTGGATGAGATTATTAGGGCCAGGATTTACTCTCAATTTGAATAAAAATGGACTTATTTGGGTTAGCACGGCTTTGTGCAGAGGAAGTCATGACTCTCAAATTTGATTGAGCTGTTGGGGAAGTGATGATGATTCATAAGAATAGGGCAGTGGATGTTGTCTACATGGATTAAACTAAAGCATTTGACAAGATCCCTCATGGTAGGCTGGTCCAAAAGACCAAATTACATGGGATCCACAGTGAGTCGGTAAGTTGGATACAAATTTGGCTTGGTCATACAAGGCAGAGTGTGGTCGTGGAGGGGTGTTTTTCTGTCCAGAGGCCTGGGGTCAATAGTTCCACAAGGATCGGTGCTGGGACCTCTGTTGTTGATAATATATGTATAATTGTTTTGGATGAAAATGTAGGTGGTCTAATTAGTAAATTTACAGATGACATAATTTCTAAGATTATTTTGTGGGATGTAGGCATTGCTAGTTGGGCCAGCATTTGTTGCCCATTCCAAGTTTCCCTTGAGAAGATGATGGTGATGAGCCGAGTGGCCTGCCTCCACATTGTAGGGATTCTATTATATCTTCTTATGTGCCAGGCATGAATCCAACCAGTAGAGATTTTGGCTCCTGATAATTGAATCCAGTTTTGCTAGGGGTCCTTGTTGCTTGGTTGAATGCAGCCTTCTTGTCACGGGCTGCCACTCTCACCTCACCTCTGGAATTCAGGTCTTTTGCCCATGTTTGAACCAAGCCTATAATGAAGTCAGGAGCAGAGTGGCCCTGGTGGAACCCAAACAGGGGGTCACTGAACAGGTTATTGCTGAGCAGGCGCTGGTTAATAGCACTGTTGGTGACACTTTCCATCATTCACTGATGATCAAGAGCGGTCTGAAGGGTTGGTAATTAGTTGGGTTAGATCTGTCCTGCTTTTCATGTGCAGGACTTACCTGGGCAATTTTCCACATTGTCAGGTAGATAGCAGTGTTGTAACAGCTTGGCTAGGGAAGCAGCATGTTCTGGAGCACAAGTCTTCAGTACTGTTGCTGGAATTATGCCTGTAGCCTTTGCAGTATCCAGTATCTTCAACCGTTTATTGATATCATGTGAGTGAATCGTATTGCCTGAAGACTGGTCTCTTTACTGATGGGGACCGCTGGAGGAGGCCAAGGTAAATCATCCACTCGGCACTTCTGGCAAAAGATTGTGAATGCTTCAGAATGGAGAAGCTGACTTGAAGGACTGGCCAGCCTCCTCATGCTCCTATGTTTTTATGAGCTTGAAGCAGAGGTGGAGTTGGAAGATGTTTTGGAGTTGGAAACTGGTGGTCTTAGTGAAGGTGCAATGTGATCAGAAGTAGCCAAGGTCTTTTTTCCCAGGATAGGGGAGTCCAAACCAAAAGGCACAAGTTTAAGCTGAGAGGGGAAGGATTTAGAAGGGAACTGAGGGGCAAATTTTTCTCGCAGAAGGTGGTGCATGCATGGAATGAGCTGCCAGAGGAAGTGGTGGAGGCTGGTACAATTACAACATTTAAAAGGCACCTGGATGGGTATATGAATAGGAAGGGTTTAGAGCCAAATGCAACTCGGTCAGTTTAGAGTGTGAATCATAGAATCCGTACAGTGTGGAAACAGGCCCTTCAGCCCAACAAGTCCACACCAACTCTTAGACCATCCCACCCAGACCCATCCCCCTGTAGCCCACCTAATCTACACATCCCTGAACACTACGGGCAATTTAGCATGGCCAATCCACCTAACCTGCACATCATTGGACTGTGGGAGGAAACCCACACAGAGACGGGGAGAATGTGCAAACTCCACACAGACAGTTGCCCGAGGGTGGAATCAAACTCCGATCCCTGGTGCTGTGAGGCAGCAGTGCTAACCACTGAGCCACCATGCAGCCCTAAAGTGTCAGCCTGAATGAGTTGGTCTGTTTCCGTGCTGTATAACTCTACGATTCTAAGTACATGTCCATGTCAAAGTACAACAACAAGTTTGCTAGCAATCTGGTGTGGCCTTCAACAGTTCAAGGGAAGGGAATGGAATTGACACCTAGAGCACTGTGTTTGAGGGTCCAATTCAAAGAGAATGGACAAGATTTTAACTTGCTTAAAAATCAGCCAGTTACCCAGAGTTTAATTTAAACATTGAACTGGAGGAAATTCCTGCTCACTACAGGACTGGATGTTGGACAAACATTTCTCAGCAGAGGATGAATGGAGGGAAGATGTGGAGAGATAAAGCTGGGGGCAATCAATATGAAATCTAACACTGTGTTTTCGGAGATATATCACTGAGGGGCAGCATGTGGATGATGAAGAGGAACCATACACACGGATTCTAAAGCTATGATTAGATAGTATGTGAGATGCTGGTGTTGGACTGGGGTGGACGAGTTCAAAAATCACATGACACCAGGTTATAGTCCAACAGGTTTATTTGAAAACACAAGCTTTCTGAACTCAGCTCCTTCCTCGGGCATATTGTGAGAAAGGGGATATAAAACACAGAATTTATAAGCAGAAAGGTAACAACCCTCTTGTTGAATCTTTAATCAGTTAGGAAGGAGATTACTGATTAAAACGCAAAATCCAGATTCCTCTCAAGTCATTGGCCTGAGATAATTAAAGGTTTTATCAATGCTTACAAGAAGTAACATCTCGGGTCAGACATAACAAGGTGTAGAGCTGGATGAACACAGCAGGCCAAGCAGCATCAGAGGAGCAGGAAAGCTAACGTTTTGGGTCTGGACCCTTCTTCAGAAAAGGTCAGGTCTCAGGTCAGACAATGCATTTTAGGTGTGAGGTCTTGCTTAGAATCTGTCTATGTTTTAAACTGGGGTCAGGTCTTATTTTTCTGAGCAAAACAGAATGTATCTGCAAGTGCACAAACATTGTGGATGAAATAATTCATGTGTGTGTCTGTAAGTGTGTGTGTGTTTGAGAGTGTGTGTGTAAGGGAGTGTATGTGTGTGAGATAGAAGGCCTGTGTAAGTGCATGTGCATGTGTGTGTGCAGTATAGTGTGGTGAGGTCACCTGTAGTGTGACATGATCCCAAGATCAAGATTAAGGCCATCCTTTTGGGTATGGAACTTGGCTATCACCCTCTGCTCAGCGATTTTATGTTGTTGTGTATCTCAAAGTCCATCTTGGAGGATGCTTACCCAAAGATCAGAGGCTGAATGTCCTTGACTCCTGAAGTGTTCCCCCACTGGGAGGAAACATTCCTGTCTGGTGATTGTTGCACAGTGTCCATTCATCCATTGTCAGTGTCTGCATGGTCCTGCCAATATTCCATGCCTCAGGCCATCCTTCTCACATTGTATGAGATAGTCACATGAGTATCTGCCATGTACGTGGTGGGTGGTGTTCCTACATGTGATGGTAGTGTCCATGTCGATGGTCTGACATGTCTTGCAGAGGTGGCCATGGCAGGATTGTATGGTGTCGTGGTTAATGTTATCCTGAAGGTTGGGTAGTTTGCTGCGAACAATTGTCTGTTTAAGGTTGGCGCTTGTTTGAAGGAGAGAAGTGAAAGATTGTGGTAAGATATTCATCGTTGTTGATGATGTGTTTAAGGCTGCGAAGAACCTGGCATAGTTTCTCCGCTCTGGGGAAGTACTGGACGACAAAGGATGTCCTGT